GGGGTTCCCTCTCCCGCCGCCCCCTCCCCGCTCTCCCCGGCTGCCCCAGACCACCCTCCCCAGCATGCCCCGCTGCCTCATTTACATATCCCCGCCCCACTGGCCAATCCGGCGCGGCGGCCGGCGCAGCGCAGCCAATCGGCGCGGCCGCTGCCCACCTCCTCGCCCCAGCAACAGGCGCCCCGCGTGGGCGTGGCCGGCGGAGCGGCGCCTCATGAATAATTCATGAGAGGGGGCGTGGCGGCGGCGGGCGGCCCCGGCGGCCCAGGCGCGGAGGGGGAGACGGTCCCAAGATGGCGGCGCTGCAGGCGGAGCGCGGGTACGGGCTGTCCTGCGGCCGCCTCGGCCGCGGCACCCGCGTCTCCGTCTTCCACGTCAAGCTCACGGAGAGCGCCCTGCGCGCCTTCGAGAGCTACCAGGCCTGTAAGGTACGGGGCTGGCGGGCGTGGGGCGAACCGGGCACGGCCCCGCCGAGGGCCGCCACGAGGCCCCCCGGCCGGAGCCCTGCGGGCGGCACCGGCGGGGATGAGGGGAGCTGAGGGGGGGATTCCTCGTGAGGSGGGTGTGCGGCCCGGGGCGGGCCCGGGGCGAGGGGAGCTCCACGGTGAGGGGCTGAGCGGGTGCGGAGATTCCCGGCCCCCCCCGTCCRTGAGTGACCGGGAACCGGGAATGGTGGGGGGGCGATCCCGGTGCGAGGTGCCCGAGGGACACCGGAGAGGGCTCGCGGTGCCACTCCCGGTAACGCCCCGGTGTGTTCCCTGACCCCGGCGGTGTTTGCGGGGTCCCTACGGGCTCTCTAGACGGTGATCGGGGAGGGGTCGCGATCCTCCGGGAAGTGCCCGAGGGGCACCGGGAGATGTCGGTGTCCCTCCCGTTCACCCCGGTAATTGCTGTGGGTCTCCAGTGTGTCCCCACCCCGCTGGGTGAGCGGGGACCCCCGGCGTGCCCCCCGCCCGCCCGGTGACAGAGGCCCCGCGGTGTCGGTGCGGGGGTGGCGCTCGGTGTCCCCCGGAGGTGACGGGAGCTGCCGTCACTGCCCGGGAGTGTCTGGGGAGGGGGGCCAAGGGACGTCGGTGCCCCCCTCCCCCGTTTCCCCGGTGAACGTGACGTGGGTTCCCAAAGCCCCAAAGCCGGGGGGGCGGCGGGTGCGTGGCCGGTGCTGCCATCCCGGACCGGGGGTCCCTGTCCCGCTGTCCCCTCCCCAGGACACCCGGTTGTTTGTCCATCCCCGGCCCGGTGCTCCCCTCCCGGGGGTGCGGGGAGGCACGTTCAGACTGTATTTTGAAATTTCCAGATTGTCTTTTCCGTGCCGTTTCCTTGAAATGCGTCCAGAGAGCTTATTAGTCATGTAAATAGAGAATAATGGCAATTATTTCGGCAGCTGGTGTTGGGATGGACCGGAGAGGGGTTCAAAACTGTCATTTTTAGTGTAATTTTATTTTTATTTTATTTTTTTCTTTCCGCCTCTGATCCTGCGACGAGCATTTCTGTCTCCTCACCTTGCTGGGGGAAGCTGGGAGTCTAAACCCGTTTGTCATTAGGAGCGTCCTGCCTGCCAGCTTCTGTAGGATAAACCATATGTTGTCACAACACTATTTTTAATTTAGGGTGTTGGTTACATCACATCACTGAATTGGGCAATCTCTGTATGAGGACGAAGGTAATGACTGTACCAGGGTTTATCAACTTATATTTTAATGAGTGTTTATCAGCATTATGAGAAGGCAGGAGGAATAAGTGACTCGGGTAGACTGAACGATTAACGCTTTTTTTTTCCTCTGAAAAAATGAAACAAATAATCCAAATGATTCTTTCCTATATATTGGGAAAGCCTTTTATTTTGGGGGAGGTAGAGTAGGAAGACTCCAGGCAGCTGCGTTAAATATTTTGGGAAGCTATTCCGAGTCCGTGTCACACATGAATAGTGGTGTTTATTTTCTAAATGAAGTCTGGGCTYGGGATTGTTTGGTGGCCAACGGCCACTAATGAACTTTGCTTCCTTCACCGCCACCCAAAAGAGAAATAGTCAGAGGCTCCTGGTGATTAACTGGGCAGGAAGGGATAAGGGCAGAAGAGCTGCTTGTTTGTGTAGTGAATAACGCAACAATTAGTGGGCTATTAAACACATATGCTCATTCTGCATCGGTTCTATAAACAGTTTCCCCAGCTTGTTGAACAGTCTGGGCTTCCTCGGAAGCGCTGGGCCCCGGCCCTGCCAGGAACCGCCTGCCACACACCTTCACCGTGTGTGTTTGGTGTGTGTTTGTCCAGTCCAGCTCCGCTTGAATTTGGGCTGCACTAGTTAAACGGAAAAAATTTGCTCAGGCTCCTTCTGCTCGGTTTGGTTTGAAATGTGGTGGAACTGACGGCAGCGTTGTGTAATATGGATAATGGCCTGGAATCCAATCCTGCTGTTTGTGTTACCTGGACTCCACCATGTGCAGTCTGACCTGTTTCAGGCTCCGGGGTAGCACGTCCGTGCGATTCCTGCGACAAGGCCCTGTCCCTCTGCCAGAACGGGCAGGGAAATGTCTTCAGTTCCTTGCTTGAGTTTGTTCTTGGTCTAATAATAATGTATTGGGATTACATAATCCAAAAATGATCACCCAGCCGGGCGAGCTGCCATTTGTTTGGAGTGTCCCTGGTGCCAGAGCAGTTGCAGGCTTGGTGTGGAGCTGCACCATGTGTGGATCAGGCAGCAGGGCTGTGGAGAAACAGATATTTGTCTTCTTGGGTCTCTGCTGAGCTGTGCTCTTGGCTTTCTGCTGAACTGTCTGCGTCCTGGGGAATMAAATGGTCACGGGTGCACGTTCTGGATGGGGTTTGGAGCAACCTGCCCTAGTGGGAGGTGTCGCTGCCTGCGGAAGGGGTTGGAACAAGCTGAGCTTTAAGGTCCCTCCCAGCCCAAGCTGTTCTGGGGTTCTGYGATACTGATCCCCAACTCTTGTGCTTCAGGAAGCTGTTCTTGTGTCATCTACAGAGGATGTGGAGCTGCTGCTGAGGAGCTCCTGCTCACAGCRCTGCTGGCTCCTCCTGATCCTGGGAAAGGTTTCTTCAGCAGCTCACCCAAAAGAAAGAGGAGCCTTAAAAAGAGAATTAGCCCTGGCTTCACAGGGGACACTGTGAGATGTCACCCAGCTGCTGCTTGTGAAACTTGCTGCCCCTGAAACTGTTTCCCCACAGTTGTGAAACCAAGAGCTCTGGCTGCTGAGCTCTGAGCGGTGGGAAGCGTGTCCCAAGTTGGTTTGTCCACTGATGAAATGGAGCCAGTCTGGTGTGTTCAACTAAAACAACTCGGGCTTCTCCAGGGGGTGGAATTCTAGAGCAGCTTGCAGTTTGCTGCCTTCCTTTTGGGGGTGTGTACATGGTTAGGCCTTCCCACCTCAACTCCCTCCTAAAAAAAAGCCGGGCTTGGAGCAGCCTGCTCTGGTGGAAGGTGTTCCTGCCCATGGCAGGGGGTGGTCTTCAAGGTCTTTCCAACCCAAACCATCTAATCATCTAGGATTACATGATTCTACAACTTTTCCCATCACTTCTTGTCTGCTCCCAMCTTTCTTGCTGCTGCTGTCAAGGTATGAGGGAGCTCCTCAGGCCTGTGCCGTGTTTTCCTCTTTCATTCCTGCCCTCAGTGTGGAGATATTTTACCATCCTCACCAAATCCCTTAGTTACCCTTCATCCTTTATTTTTCACCTGTTTTTTTAGCAGCATCCTGGGTTTTTGGGTAAGTCACCATCTCCCTGCAGGATTGAACTGCCACATGGCAAACCCAGGTGTCCCTTGGCAGTGGCTGCGTCTCCCTTGCGGTGAAGGTGCCAATGGCACGTAAACGGTGTTMGAGCTGTTCCTGGAACCCTCACCTGGGAATTTCCCAACTTCCACCTATTTCTTTWAAACCTCACTCTGTGGCTGGGCTGGTTGARRGGTGTTTTTTTGATAGTGAGCAACSTGAGGCAGTTGCACACCTTTCCCTGCCATCTGTAGTTTATGTGTTGATTTAGCAATGGAGGTCAGGCTCAGCTCTGCTCTCACCCTGGTCCTGCCTTGCCTGGTGGATTTAGGAGGTTGTTGTTGAGGTTGTAGCATCCCTTGGTAGCATCTTCCTGCTGCTCTTGTCCCTGTCTACCCCTGCTACCCCGGAGTGTTTTGAACGGAAGCCACTGGTTGATTCACTTGGTGAACTTTGGCAGATGCACAAATATTTATTGGGGACTAAGCTGAGATAACCTAAGCACGTTGTCCCTGCACTCACCCAGCTGAATTTCGGAACCGTGGTCTGATGGATGTGGCTTCCCAAGTCATCTTCCCTTCTCTGCTCCAAAACYACCCGGGAGAGAAACAATCCTTTGAAAATGAGGGTTAACCCAARCCCTTGGAGTTGCTGTTTATTGAAATAATTTTCCAGCCTTGGCTTTTGGAGCAGGTTGAGGAGATTCCTTCATCTTGCTGTGTTCAAAGCACRAAACACAAAATGAAGGCTGTGCTGTCATTACAGGGTCTTTAGGGTAATGCGTATTCATGCTGACTTGAGAATTGAAAGCTGCTTGCAGGTGTCAGGAGGAGAAGAACAATCCAGCTTTCAAATCAGAATTCATTGAATTATCTCAAAGCTTTTTGCATCATTCCTCCTTCCCCGTAACCTGTTTTTTCCTGTCCTRTTAATTCACTGATGCTGTAGTCCGTCAAAATTGAGGCTCTTACGACATCGGGAACATGAGTCGGTGACATGACTGAATGAATCAGAGGAGGCTGGAGAGGAAGCTCATCGCACACGTACGTCTCATCAGCAAAAATGGGACAGGATCTGCAGAACACCCTGAACTGCTCAACTCCTGCTCAATGTTCTCCGCGTTGACCTGAATGTGGCACCTCCCATTGGAAGGAAAGGGGACAAAGAGATGTTGAACATTGTGCACGAGGAATGTTTTGGCCCGTGGCAGTTTCCTTTCAATTATTTAGGGAAGCTTTTTTTCTCTCGACCATATACCATTTGGATCTGCTCAAAATTATAGATTCATCTCTATAGTTTTCAAACGGCATTGGAAGGAATTGTCTGTAATTTACATCTAAAGTGACGTACAGTTGCTATGGGATTCGGTGGCAAATTATAAACCCATTATGCTTTTTTTTTTTGTACTGGTGGTAGCAGACTAAAGAACTAGGTCTAATTGGTGATGTGCCAAGGGAAAATAGAAAGTTTGTGACAGAATCCTTGTGACTGATAGTGCTTTTTTTTTAAAAATCAAACGTGATCTGCTTTTTATCAGCAAAACGTACCCCACCATTAATTGGATAGGTTCAGTTTGAATTCATAATTTTTGCTCTCTGGCAATACTGGGGAAAGCAAGCTGAAATATTAACCCTTTGGGTTATTTATATGGGGCTGGCTTGTTCTTTTTTTTATTTAWGTGGGATATTTCATCAGTTGTA